AAGGATTTCTTAAATACCGTAAGGCCAGTCTTTATCAAAGAATACACAAGCTTCCCACTGCAGTAACTGCAATGCCTACTTACAAAATCTGCTGCGTCAGGTATTAGATTCAGGCAAAGCAATTACATTCAAAGATACGGTACAAAAATCCAACATTCTACAGTGACAAAGACTAAAAATGCCTGCTCTCCCCTAGTCTTTCATTCTTGCTACTGTAGTACAGTTTTCATATTTTCAACGGCATACTTTTAAGTAACTGCAGTCACCATATGTTCCTGCAACTGTTCATAAAGCTATGCTGTAAACCAAATTATTTAAAAAAAAAAAAAAAAAGAGAGAGAGAAAAAAAGAACAGATCTACAGGCCTGTACATATCCTGCAATCTTTTAGGAAACTTTTTTTTAATATTCTTCTACAGGGCAGCCCACTCATGGGACAAGAACTATCAGCTTTACCACAAGAGAAACCCATACTCTTAAGGCTCCAGACAGAATGCCTTTTGCAAGCAGTCTGAATCAGTAGAGCTCAGCCTTGAGAGGTACTGCTTAAAGGAAAGCACACTTAAAGGAAACCACCTAAGTCCAAAAAATAAAAATCAAGGCCAGCACTGTAACACCACAAACCTATCTGGGGTCAGACTCGAGGAACACCAGTACTTAATGTCCAAATTGCACCACCAACAAAAACCCAATCACCAAACCAAACAAAAACCTGTGCATCCACCTAATGTTATTACTAGGCACCTCCTTTTTGATCTGGAAGATTCTTAAGTCCCTGTAATTTTCTTTTTCCCCTCATACATTCTCAGAATTGAGAAACTTCTGCTTAGAGCCTACAGGAACTACAAGCGTAAGGCTAAGCTGCAGCACATGGTATCCAAGTGCCAACCCTGGCATTCCTAACAAACCAATAGTGTCAGGTCTATTAAGAAGTAACTTAGTGAGAACACCTGAAAGAAAACAGATCCTATGACAACTGAGTGGTGTACAGCTTTTATTTATGACTGAACGCAGCACTAATTCTGCAAGTTCAAGAGCCTGCCTGAAGCTTGATGCCAAAGGCCATTTCTAACACTTCCAAATTTACCTAGAACATGATTTCCATACCCAAGTAAACAAGCCTAGCAGAAGTGCCTAAACCCACAGGCTACAGATTCACATCTCTCCACAGTGGCAAAACTTCAAGAGAAAGTTGGGAAGAAGTCCTGTCTAGACATTTATAGCTAAGATGCCCTCCTGGGTAAGTGGCAGATGTTGAATTGAACACCTTGCCACTGAGGAGAGAACAGAATCTAGGTCTTTCATTTCCCAGCTCAACAGCTTAACATTAGTTAAGGCAATCCCAAAAGATGACTGCCATCTGCTCCTGTGCCCTCCTTTTAGGAGAGCAGGGACCTCCCTCAGTTATTGGAAAAGTGCCTTACCACACAAGGGACCCAGATGCCTCATTGCAGCTTCTGAGTAAGAAACTGCATTTCAAATATATCTCTATGTACATTATCACGCAGCGGCTTTCACTGGACAGCCCACCATTCAGTGTATTTTTTTTCCTGGATCATCCACTAAAACCACCTAAATCTCATATACTGCTCAGCAAACTGAGGATTTGGCAGGATACTGCAGTCCGCTTTGCAGACTAAGGACCTTGGTCCCCAACAACTTAGGTGCCACAACAGTCAAGTCCTTCACTGAACCTAGGCCCTGGGTAATGAGCCACAATTTAAACACTTCCAAGGCTTCGTGCTGTCCTTCTGTAGCAAAAAGACTATTTTTGTGAAATACATAAGCTCTGAAACAATTGGCTGCAGCAACCATGTATGGTTTATTACCCTGTTTCTTCAGAAGTCTGCTAAATGCTTTTTGTACCTGGGAAATACAGCAGGTGAAACTACCCTAATATTATAACACCAAAGCCACGACCTCAATGATTCCTTGGAAAAATGAATGAGAACAAAAATGCACTGAGAACGTGTTTTTCATTAGCAGCTGTATTAAGCCAGGACTGGCAGGGATATTACACAGGCCACAAAACAGCAAGTACCTGTATTTGCACACGCAATTTAAAACCATCCCAGGACTTATTTGCTGAATCTCGAAATTGCCTAAAAAGCTTTAACCCCCTCACACTCTTGATATTTCTATGGCAAATTTCACTCTCTGGGGTAGTGAATTCATCCCCTGAGTCTAGCCGACTCAAGTTACTGAATTAAGCGAGTTCTGAATGCCCATGAACTCTGACACTGAGTTACGTGATACTTACAGAACTAGATCAAATGAAGACTACAGGTGAAATGTGGAATATATAAAATATATACATACTTACTGAGAGTAAACCCATGTGTGTAGACAGTCATTTACGGGACTGAGTTTACTATTAATTATAACGATCAACATCTGGCAAACAGACCAAAGACGCTTCAAATTAACTATGACTGTGCCAACTGATTTAATAGCAAATCTTAATTTTAAAAACCTGGGAGAGAATATTCTGTAGGACCACCTGAGTCTCCTAGTGCCACCTATCTGTAACCAGCAAGGCACAAATGAACTCTGAGTGCCCCATTTAAGTTAAATACAAAACAAAAAGTGTATTTGGTTACTATAGCTTTGCAATTTCACATTTGCTGACTGGATAAAATGAGTTAAGCTTCAAACTGATTGACACCTCTTGCATCCCTCGAATTTTGATTTTTTTTTTGATGCTGACAATGAAGGAATTGAGGGGTGGGGAAGTGGAGCAGGGAGGGAAACAACTTAAAAATACCCAACTCTACTTTAGGGATTTGCCACAAGGCTTTAGATGTACCAAGCAATCCATCTTAGGATGGGAATACCTGACTGGACTATTATTAAGCTAAGTCATCTAAGATTTTGCTAATTCAACCAACAACCCTAGGGTCTGCAATTTTTTTTAAGAGGCTTTTGTTACAACAAAGTCATCCAGTGCTAGTTCTGGTACCACAGACACTGTTTTATCAGGCAATGATAATAAGAGGTTCTTGAATGGCAAAGCAGATACCTCATGTCATTCAACTCTCAGGTTTGGTTCCTCCAGGTGATGTTCCCTGTCTGATCCAAAAGAACCCAATCTGTAAAAATTTCCCATACCCTGAACACAAATACAAACACTGTTTTTCATAAGTATGAGATGACATATTGACCAAGTCAATGAAGGTAACAGTGGTTATCAGAGTAATTTAATAGTGGCTAATTTTCCCAGCTGATATGCCAGTTAGTTAATTGGGAGAAGACTGGCAGCTCTGCATGTATTCATGCCCTCCCTTAGTAAACCAGAACACTTAACATTTGCAGCTCTGCAGAGGTGACTATGCAATCAAGTCTCATGGTCTAGAAGCATCTTCCCCCACCCACCCACCCATATAAGAAAACCCCTAATTTCAACCCATGCCTTCTGAAGCATCAGACACAGAAGACTGGTTGGTGAAATATTCAGAGACTGTAGAGAGAAGCCTCTCTTGCATACCTGGCTAATATGACTTATTCATTGGTTTGAGACAAACTGATTGCCAGATTTACAATTCCCCTCACCTCACACAGCAGGCAGACTTTCTCACATTCACTTCTAGCATGAAACACAGATTACTAGCTGCTGAGATCTGATTGTCTACGCATTTCTCTGACTCCAGAGATCTTAAAATGTATGTGATTTTTACCCTTTTTAGGTGTTTGTGTTGCACTGCACCCTTGAAATAAATATCTCAGTCTTTCAGGGGGTTGCCTAACATCACAGGCATCTGTAATTTAGATTCTGATAGCTCTTAAGTGGACTTGTCTTATGAAGAGCAGATGAGCTCAGCCTCTTCTGACCTTAAATTTCATGAAAGCTATCATACATCCATCATTAAGTAGTAGTGAAAAGGCAACCTAGCCATGCAATGAGATCATACACCTCAACTGGTAACAGTGAATAGCACTGAGTAACAAAGATCTGTTCTCATGGCTCCAAGATGATTGTCTCTGATCCTTCATAAGTTCCGTTACAGAAATCAATCCAGAGGGAACAATACTGAACCTAGGTCAGTGCTGAAGGAGTCTAGGCTGCTCTCTCTCCCATTTAGCTTGGCAGAATTTCCTCAGAGACTTTATGAACTGTACTGCACACAGCACAACTCAAAACCTTTCTTTAGGTTCAGAGTGACCTTCTTGGCTTGACTTCATTTTTAAATGCCCTTTTTCTTTTTTGTGAGTAGATCTATGGCAGGTGTCTTCTTCAGATGATCTTCTTTATGCTCCAAGACTGCCATTCCACTACGGCTGAAGGCTGGATGAAGCCCATTTGCCTACTCTCAGAATTCTCAATGATTCTTCATATTCTACAAAGACTTTGGTAATTTTCTCCGGGAGACAAAGTCTGAATTGCACAACACATCATTACCTTTTTGAGGAAAGATATGTACAAAGACCCAATTAATATCAAGAACCAGATGGAAATACCTATTGCATCCATCTTCCAGAAGAATTAGTTTACTGCAGAACAGACCAAATTTGAAACCTGCATGTGGAGGAGCTCTACACAGAAAGGCTGACAGCATTCAGTCCAATGGGCCAAGGCAGCATACAACATTGTATGAGATCAGGTGACTCCTGAAGAGCTTTAGCCAGATTAAGAATTAGCAATGCAAAAATAAACCAAGTTCCACCTTGGTTCCCCAGGCAGGAAACAGAGCACTAAAGGAGGGTCTCTGTCACCATGTCTCTTATGCATGTTCTCTGACAATGTAACTAACACTCCAACTTCATGTGGATGAAGCATATAGAAAGATGACACTATGAAATACAGCCAAAGAAACAACTTTTTACATTTTACAGATTTAATCTTTGCCCCACTAAACTGAATAGGAATTTCTCTTGACTTCACCGGATGCAGGATCTCGCACTGTACACAAATACATGCTTCAAGATGGCCTACATAAGAATGTACTAAAAGCAAAAGGTTTAGAAAGGTTGCTTTGGCATATCTGCATAAAGCACAATAATTACCATGTTGAAGTAAGACCGGATTTTGACCCCTCTTGCCAAATCCCAAACTATGACATTTCCATCATGTCCAGCAGAGAAGAGAACTCTTGGATCAAACGGATGAGGTTCAAGTACAAACACTTCATCTTCATGTCCCTGAAATTAAAGATACAGCAAGATGAACAAGAGGGTTGTCTCACTCAAAAATTCAATACAGTAACACTAGCAAACCATATCATTAGCCTATGAAAGTGTCCAGCAAAGAACAACTACTCTGACCACAATTTTTTTTTTTTTTTTGGTAGCAGCATATTATACTCTTCTCTTTCCAGTTGTAATTTTAGGTTCCTAAGAGGTATGTCAAGTATGTCACCTCATAACAAGTATGTCTCAATACTTTTGCCATGATTTTAAAAGATTAGAGTTCACAACGCTTGGTATTTTTGGTCTTAACACTCGGCAGATTTCTATTTGTTTAGGCAGACTAGCAGTTAGAAATTTAACATAAACCCGTAAAGAATCAAATATATAACTAGAAGTTAGAGAACAACATCTCCAAAATCAATACTAAATTTTAAAGCTTTGCAGGAAATATTTCCATCTCTAGCGGAGCATCTAGTTACCTAGAAATACCTATTTTCTCAGTTAAAAAAAAGTATCACACATTAGTAAAAATGTTGTTTGATTTATTCTAGCTAGAAGACTATTACAATTGTCACATTAAATTAAGGTAAAAAGAAATAACTGTTTCCTTCTCTCCTTCAAGATAGCACTTTTGGAAAAAAAGAAAGTCCAAAATTAGTTTCAGACATCCTGAACAGCAATGGTTATTTGTGACTTTAAAGCTTTATCTTCTAATAAGCAGCTGACAGACATCTCTATTAAACTTTAATTATCTGGAAACATTTGTTAAGGCAGTTCTCAGACAGAAAAAAAATGCAAAAGGAAGAATTTTGATGATTCATACATAAAATTTGCATTCAGGATTAGTAAATCAAGACGGAACACCTTACCATGAGAATATGAATGAGTTGGCCAGTGAAAGAATTCCAAACTTTCAGAGTCATGTTGTTTACTGCAGTTATAACAGAGTTGTCATGGCGGTCCCATGCCACCATGGTCACTTTCAGCTTTGTGATTTTATCTTCAACTCCTTGTAGACTTTGTCTAAAACAAAAGAGCAAAAAGTTTCAAAGCAATCCTAGTTTGCCGAAACATTTTTATGTCCATGATAAGTGAAAATACTTCTGTATTTTGCTTTATTATTAAGAATAGAAGCATTACTCCTTCAAGAAACTTGAGAAATGCAAGATGTTTTCCATTATGTAGCACATAAAACCACAAAGAATTGTAGATGTTTAAAGAATGACTATAGGGTCCTCTTAATATCTTGAATATGCTGATCCGTTTTTCCAGAAAATGCCTTCTTTATACACGACCTAACCCAATTAAATTTGATAACTACAGTATTTGTTGTGACATCTGAAGAGCGAGAATACAAACTAGTCAACCAGTGAACAGTAATTTGTCCTGGAGAGTATTTCTAGGAAGTAGGTACAAATAAGGAGAGAAGTATTCTGATACCTTTAAATGAATTAAATCTCAGGCTATATTTAGTACTATAGCACCACCCTTACATCACTACTATCGGTAATAATGGTGCTTAATCTTGCATGTATTTTATTTTTATCCCTAAGAAAACCAAATACTAGCCATCTGTAATATAATCTATAAGAATACTCCAAAATTACATTTTTGTCAGTGTGGTTTAAAGATGAATCATCATTGAATTCTCTAGCACATTAATTTCTGGGAAAACATAAACCAAATGAAACAATAGCATGTTACCACCACGTAGGCAGACAACATATAGAATCTTCCACATACTAAGCACTACAATACATTACACAATAGTATATACTGTACAACTTGATAATAGAAAATGTGGTTATAGCCAGATTCCTTTCTGGATTCAATGCAGAACCCAGGAGGTTTTATAAGCTGAATTCACTCTTTCCTTTCAGTGCAGCAATTTCATTTTGCTTGATAAAATTGTGCTTGTGCAGAAAAGATCAAATTTGGAACTGCACTTATCCCTCTAGTCAAAAGGGCAGAACAGAATTCAGCTAAAGGTGCTTTACTGAAATGAGGAGTTCAGTTTCTCAAAGAAGATCAGCATTTGTGACCACAATGAAGAAGAATCCATTCCTATTTTTCCCAGCATCAGTTAAAACCAAGAATTTTTACAGGCTGCATTTTCAAGACAAAGTAACTCAGTCTCAAAGTACCAGTGGTTTATACACTCTTGTCGAACAGCTTTATATTCATGTTCTGTTGAATCTGCCCATAACTGACAAAATACTCTCCAATCTAAACATCTAACTAAATTATAGCTTATTTAGCCTTCTCTTCCATCTCTCTCTTGGTCTCTCAGACATCTTTCCATGATTACTCCTGAAACCATTTTAATTTTTCTTCTATTAAATATCATCCTTCAAACCACTCAGTATGATCAGTTAAGGGGAAAAAGGTTTACCCCTTAAACCTATTCTAAATCTTTCTAATGTATGTCAGTTGGAAAACATTTCCTCCATGCCAAAATAAAAAGGTGCAAGCCACAAATCCTACTAAGTTGTTCTTCATCTTCAAGCCTCTTTTGTTGCTTGTTCTAGTGTACAGAAGTTTCCCACACCTACAAAGCCTTCTAAATTCTCAAGACTGTTTTAACAAATGAGAACCCATTACACAGCAAGCGCTTTTCTTGCTCTGGCATGTGGTATGAAAGAACCCAATACTGCTTTCCTGGACATGCAGATTCCACACTATCTTTAAGTATTACTAAAAAGCAAGCAGTCTCAAGAACAGATCTGATCTGGTTTTCTTGCTCCAGAAATAAGTACCTAAGTAAAATGCCATATAAATTTGACCTTTAACAGGTTTTGAGTATCTTTTATTCTTTTAATCTAATCAAAATACCAGTGGAGCTATTATCAGGACAAGCTAGTTTCCACAGATGAATATGTAGTCAAATATTTGTTTTCACTGGACTTCAAGAGCTAAACAAGCATAATATGCATTTAAGCAATAATAATTTAAGAAGCGCCCCCCCCTTTTTTCCCCTTTCTCTCTCTTCTCCCCCCCCCCCTTAAAGTAAGTCAGCAAATTATATCAATGGCCTTCAAGTATCTATCTGGTAGCAGAACATTTTATATTACTTACCCTGCTGGGCGAGTAGCCATATCTAACAAAATGCTTTTCCATTCCCTTCGCTTAAATTGCCAGATTCGTGCTGTTCCATCACGGCTTCCACTCACAAATCTAACAAAAGAGGAAAAAGGTTACTCAGAGATCAAAGGCAGATCTGTACAGAAAAGGCACTTGAAAATTGAAGTTCCAGAATTTAGAACTCAAAAAAGGAAGCTATAAGTAAGAAGTCCAAACAGTGTCAGAATGCTGTACAACTGGTTTGAAATGAAAAACACTCCCATACCAGTAATAATAGAAGGACTGCAAAGAGTGGAACCTGCTTCCCTACCCTGAGCCCCTTCCAAACTAACTGTACTTTGACCTTTGGTGCACCTTGCTGAGTTATAACACTGCTCTGGCACAGGACGCCATAACCCAATGAGCATTCTAAAAAACTGACCCTATCACACCAGGTAAAGCTATAGAAAAAAAGTTAAGGGGTAAAAATGTCTAAGGGCCAAGAGAGCCCTGCAAGCAGAAGTGCAGACATGATTTAAAACAAACAAAACATACTCCCAGTAAGCTAGCACTGTGTGTTAAGTACTATGACACTTACTGAAGTGTTTCCCAGCTTGAGTTTCTCCCCCACCTTTTTCTTCCCCCTTTTTGGGGTGCAGAGGTAGAAGGACGAGAAAAAGGTGGGTGGAGCACAATGAAGCTTGGTTTACAACTATTTATATCATAATAAAAGTGTACATTAGAACATCAACTAAATGAAGTGTCAGAAACTTCGTAACAAACTGAACTCTTTTCTTTAGCATCCTTCACATTCAACCTCCAGAACTTAAAGTGAAACATGAAAAAATGTTGGGCTAGCTAAACAAAATATTGTTAGATCTAGTTTGATAGTTTTCCTGTACCCAGCAGTCACTTAACTGAAAAAAGGTTTAAATATATCTAAAGATGCATGTATTTTATATGTGAATATATATACACATATATTTCTTAAGAAAAGAATCTCAAGTATTTTTATACTCCTTATTTTCGGCAAGTTCAAAATACTTTAATCATTTATTACAATGAAAACAGCTGTAAAACTGAAAAAGGAGTATTATGAAAACAGAACAGTGAAAATCCAATAATTATAGATGATTTTACTGGATGAACCTCAAAACAGAAAGCAATTTTTTTTTCCATAACTACTTCCAGAAACTGCTATTTACAAATGTCCACAATGTCCAAAAACTAGCTCTGAATAAATAAATCGTGTGCTTACCTGCTACTACTATTAGAAAACTGAATGCTGTCAACTTTGTCCTATATAAAAAAAAGTAGGAAAAAAAAAAAAACAAATGTGATTCCAAATTATCTCAATTTATCCAAATTATTATTTTAATCAAATACATATGTAATTTTTAAAAAGTATTTACAGTATGAAACTCCAACTCTGATATCTTCTCTGGCTGACCTGATCCAAAGAAATAAACCCTAATGATGTGATCTGTACTCCCAGTGGCCAAAAACATTCCACCTGAGAAAAACAAACAGATAAGTCTTAAGAAAAAAAGGCAGTCTAATGTTATTACAGTATTTTCAAACAGCTGTAACATCAAATACTTAAATGTATTCCCTCACACTTATAACTGTATCTCATTTCAGCTATTCCTGTAACTAACCTTTAAGTAAAAACAAGATTTAGAAACTCAAAAGGTTTAACTGGAGTTGAATTATTTCACATTTGCTGTCAGATAAATATGCATCTGCAGCTATATCTGAAAGATTAGCTAACTACAGTTATTTGTTTGTGACTAAGCCCTTAGAAGCCTCTATCTTAACAAAAACTGAATGGAACTAAAGCTCCAGTACCCCTTCTGAAAATAAGTTTCTGTCATTTTGATATTTTATCCAATTATTTATGTTGCATTCTTCAATTGCCAACTCTGGAATCAATGAAATTCAGACCATGAGAACCTGGTAATCAACACCCTCTTGTCCCAACCCCTATAAATTCCATCTCAGATAAAGCCAACTCTCAGAATCACTCTAAGAAAAAGGTATATATCATGTTTTAAGAGACTTGCAGTCACAAGTGACTTACTGTGAACATTTTATATTTAACTGTTTTCAAGAATTTCTGTATCACCAAGAGTTAATTCATAGATTCTGATTTTCTATTTTAAATATCTGGGGGTTTTTAATAGCTACTTTAACTCAATTCCATCTTATTAACAAGAAATATGCTACAGTAACTGTATTGTACTTCATTTTACTCTCCAAATGACTTCTTATATTGATACAAGGGAGAAAAAGGAAGGGGAAAAAAAAAAAAAAAGTCTTTTACCAGCACTAAAAGAAGAACAGATCATTTGGACTCCGGGCCGAGGGCGTTCTGTAAACTTTGTTGGCCTTGGACTACAAATAGAGAAACAGTTAAATAATTTCCTAATAGGGCTTCAAAAAATAAGTCAGTGTCTTAGAAATAAAGCACAGAAGGACAAAATTAAATATGAAGGAACAGATGGCTGCCCATCTATAAACAATTTTGTGTGACTATGCTTCATGATCTGATCTTTAGAAAACTAAGATATCCAGATGGACTAAGTAATCCATGTATCAAGGAGAGTTGTATCACAACTTAAAACCTGTTCCCCTCTAATATTGCTATACAAAACACTCTCCTTAAGTCACTGGCAAAGCAGAACAGACACTGGAGCCAGTTGCCCGTGACGGTCAGTTTTAAACCACTGGGTGTGCGGGAACTCTGGTTTTCTCCTGCAGCACATGGCTGCTTTTACAAGAGAGAAACAGAGCTTCGCACTCTTTATAGAAAAGGATACAAAAGACATTTTAATAAATTTGGAGGTTTTCCACAGTATTAGAATATACCACTTTCTTCAGAGGACATACATTCTTTGTGGGCTAGTTTCAAATAGTGCCCAAAGAATGTCAGGACAATAGCTAGAAGTTTGTAAGGAATTTTACTTTATATGGCCTGTGCTTTCTTTTAGGCATTTCAGAACCTGACGTGCAAGCAGAACTAAAGCTTCAATGGATTTGGCATTTTAAGAGTGTATAAAACCAAAACAAATCAGATCTGGTTCTTCAATCATTACTTCAATTCTGCTCATGCACTGCAGCAACCTCAAATCAGTAGGTGGTCTTGCATAGTATGCCATCTGCAATCTTCACTCAAAGAATAAACCTACTAGAGAACAGCAGCATTACACCCACAAGTGTCATCACTAAAGATTTGTTTTAACATAAAAGAATCCATATTCATAACTTATTCAAAATTTTCTCTTTTAAAAGCAAAATGGTCCATATAATTCATTTCAGCTGAAGGCAGATGCATAAGAGACCTTTCTCCATTAATCAGCTATTGCTCCCTCAAAGAAAGTAGTAAGCATTAAACCTTAGTGCATAAAACAAAGCAATAGACACCAGGAATACCAGTTAAGAAATCGTTCTCTGAATTGTCCATTCAGTATAGGCTGTTTCTGTGAACTTTCCTCTAGGAGTTTTAAGCTAACTCCCTGCAGACTCACAACAAGGAAACTTCACAACAACATACACTAAACAAGACAAAGACCTATTCTACGAAACAGTTGAAACCCTTCTTAACTGAGATACTGACGTAAAAAGAACTATCAGATGATTCAATATGCAGCTTACATAATTTGGAGCAAGTGTAAATAGATAAAAAGGCTGCTGTTTTCTTCCACTGTGGTTTGTGAACTCTGCCTTTGGAGTTAGGACAGCTGCAAAATAGAGCAAGTACGCACTTATGTTCTAGTTTGGATAACCAAGTTAAATCCTCCAACTTACGTCTCTCTAATGTGTGTTATTTTAGACATTAGGAGACAAAAGATTATGGCATTCTTTTACAATAGAGCAGACTGTGGTCTTTGCAAAATGACCTCTGCAATCAGTATTTTTCGGAAGCAAGGGAAGGGAACAAAAGCATAATTTCTCGCAACATAAAGAAACAAAGCTAATTGTTTTGCTTTACAAACATTCTCAATCCAATTATTAAGTGGCTGGAAGGCACCAAGATACCTTCACAAACATTTCACAGACAGGTCCAGAAAAGCCCTGGTAAACCATTTTCCTCCTGGAAGAGACCTGTATTAAGTTCAACATGAATCCAGAAATGAGAAGGGCTGCAGTCAAAAATTATCTGCACTCAGAGCAGCGGACAAAGAAGCAATTTGGTCTATGTGCCCTCAACTAAGGGACACGCTCACCCATATAAACGTCTCAAGTTCATCTTCAAAATGCAGCAACAGCGCAGGAATGGTTACCTAATCCAAGCCCTGCAGACTAACCTCACTCTGGACAGGTAGTGGCTCAAGCGAGACTTCTTCCCAGAAAACACATGTGTGATATAACCTCTCCAGATTAAGTCTTTGTTCACAAGCTAATGGATAAGGTTCAGCATATTTAAAATCTGACGCATGACCAGCCCTTTTAACATCAAGTGCCTTCTGCTTAAGAAAGCAGACAGGAAGTATCACACCACACTGATGACAATTGAGAAATCAACGCCTTACCCAAAACAGGAACATCAAAATCATCAGCACGTCTTTTTCCTAAGTTTTTTTCCTCTTTTTAAAATTATGGGGGAAAAAATAGAAGAGAAAAGCAGTATAGTAAACTCCTCTACCCAAATCTGTGAGACAGTTCTGCTGCCTTGTTCATATGGTCTGCCAGTAACAGACTAACACTGGAAACTTGTGATCCAAACAGGTGGCAGAAGAACAACAAGAAAACTCAGCATCCTTCTCAGAGAAAATACATATGGAAACATTTTGCAGTGCAACTAATTTAACTTTGATGCACTGACCAGTTGTAATAATTCTCCCCTAAACTTGAGCCAGATTATTCTTCAATTTCTGATGACCCAAGGCTGATTTTCTCTCTTCTCCCTACTGTCAATTGATATAGGATCCAACTCTTGTGTTTTCTATTGCCATTCAGAATAGTAACAGGAGACTAAATATGGGGAAAGTCTTGATTGCCTAAATTTTAATTGTTTTCCCCTTAATCTTGTTTGAGCCACATTCTTTGACTTCCTCACCTGCAGCAACAACCAACCTTACCATTCCTCTATCTGGAAACCAAATTACTCTACCTGGAATGTTACTGCTTTTAGGCATACATGGTAATTGCCTAGTCAGAAATCTCCTCACTGAAATAACAGGAGGCTCTCTAATACTGAAGAACATGCATCCACACTAGTCACAGAAGCATGTGAACAAGGCTGATCACTCTCCTTTGAGCAACATGAGAATTTTGTGGCCAGCCATGCCAATGTCTGTGTTTCATCCTATGGCACCAAATCTACTGTAATGTGTCCTTTCGCAGTTTATCAAAACAGAGCTCAGTCACCAAGCATCTCCTGTCTGGGCCGTATGTGTGACCTAGATATTGAACATGCTCCAATTAACAAGGTTATCAAAAAATTGGGAGACCAACATTGAAAGCCTCTAATTTCAGAGATACTATTAATTCTGCAGCAGAGCTGCTGGCAAAGCTGAATACAAGGATTTTTGCCATCTAAGAATGAAACAAAATAAACATTTGCAGAGATTAAAAAAACAAATAGAAAACAGAACTGGGGTAGGGCACTAGACATTAGAAGGCTTAAAGGATGTCACAGTCCATTTTAATGGCAAATACTAGTTTTCAAAGTAGTGAGTTTTCCAATTATTCGTTATCTGTTGAGATAAATAATTGCTCCATAATATTTTCATCTTGTAAGTGGGGAATAAAGAACAATTTCGAGTTTCCTCATCTCCTGAAGAAGCTGACAGGGAAAGAGTCCCTTCAGAGGGAGTTTCTCCCAGGAGGGACTAAGTCCAATTTTCAGTTAAACACAGGGAGTTGATCCAGTAGACTTAACCACCCAAGCTGGGTTCCACTGAAACAGTTTTCAGCATAGTTAAGAACAAAACTGATTATTTTTAATTCAAGAGCACACTGAACACAGTAGCGTATCCAAACGCTGCCTTTCCCATATTTCATTAAAAAGTTCAGTGAAGTACTGCTGGCACTGCCAATCGTCTTGAAACTACAATCAACCACATGATCATCATGAGGCTACCCAGCATCTTGTTAATCTTAACTCCCTGCTAGATGATTCAAGTAGTGCTGACTATAAAAAGCAGGAGGTGGGGTATATATGTTGTCGGGTTTTTTTTATTTTAAGCAGCTGAAATTTTAAGACTTCAGCACCAGTCCCCATTTAAAATACTGGACAACTTAGTAACACACTTTCATCACTGACAGCAATCGTATTCTTAAAGGATAGGCTGCCGTCATGCTCAGGAGGAGGATGAAATCAAGTTCTGACTTAAGCATGTGACAGCACCCCTCACCTGTACTACTTAGATCTTTTGGTCTTGCTTGAAAGCTCCTATTTCTCCTTCCTGGGGTGGGAGTGGTGCTAGAACCAAGATACAGGGCAGCAAGCTCAGAGCCTAAACAATTGTTGTAAGAGATCTTATTTTCTCTGCCAGCCTTCCTCTTTTTTAGAGATACTGAACAGAAGCAAGCCTGTATTTTTTACTATAGCGGTAAAAGGAAGGACAAACTTCCCACCCCACCAGTTATTTTCTCTTCCAGATGGCCTACACATCACATTTTTAAAAAAAGAACCTCACAAAGGGCCTTATGAAAAAAATTAATGGGAATCTTTCTTTCCTTTGAGGCTCTTATCTTGCTGGCACTCGTTTTTCCCCAGCACATTACTGAATGGATGTGGAGGGAACCTGACATATTTCCACAGCTCTGGAAGCAGATCCAGATCTAAAGATGTAAGGAAGTACAATCACCTCATCAAAAACTGTTATGACAACATACACTAATTACGGAGATGCACTGTCCATACAATGCAGCCTCCCTGTGGAAAATTACACTGGACTCTAAGTTTCCCAGTATCATTTATTTTGGTTTACTGGAATAAGCATGACAGCGTTTACAGTTTAGCACATTATGTAAAGCTTCCTGTAACTAACAAATTCCCCTGAACTAGCATACTGTTCAATTCCAGAAGAGCTACTTTAAGCCTTTTCTGGGTGTCTGACTATTTTGATATTGTAACATACTATTAAGTTCCAGTCCCAAAAGACCTGTTTCTTATTTAGACTTTACCATATTTTTAACAAGTTGTAGGTTGAATCAAAAAACATCAAATACCTCACAGCTCTACTAAGTTCAAACAAAGATCTAAGACCAGTATCCTGCCTCCAAAGTAGCCAAGACTGGATGTGTAAGAGCAGAAAAAGTACACAGCGATGCCTTTTAATATCTTCGTGTAATGCATAATACCCTGTGGCAAGGAGTTTCATAAATTAACTGCACGTTTTGTAAAGAACCATATTCTTCCAGTTTGGAATTGGCTACCTTCACTTGATACCCTCTAGTACAATAAGGGCAAACAAGCAATTACTCATCATATGCCCTCCTCCAGACACTCATGGCTGTACATGTCTCATCTTCATGCATTCATCTTTTTCCAGACTGAAGAAACACAGCTTAAAGGGTTCCTCTGTCTTTTCAAGCAAAATCTTCAAAATACTTCCACAACAAAAGGTAAGGATGGTACAAATTCCAGTCTCGAAACTTACTCTGCACTCTGTTGTTCAGCAACATGAATCACTGGCATGACTTGGGTTGCCAGACCACTTCCTTGCTGTACTGCACAAGACAGCTGAACTAATCTGTTTTCTCTATGCCACTGTCTAATCACATCTGCTGCAACTACTTATACATGAAAGCATTACTCAAAAATATTTTATTCCTTTAATATTTGCTAAGTGCATCTCACTAAAAATTTTTATTCTACATTTATGTATCACCATGGAAAGGAATTAGTTGAGAATCCCCTACCATAACTGACACCAGCTTTCTCACTCCCTAAGTTTTACCTCAAGACAAATCCCATCCAACTCCATGACTCATCCAAACATTCGTGATTTCTAAATATTCATCTCCCAGTTCATAATAGTATAACCCACCTAAGTATCATGGATTCCACTATTCTCTAATAACATTATTTGTTTCAAAATTCAATTCCATAGACTCAAACTTTACTCAGGAAAAAGAGAAAAAAGAAAAAAAGGGGAAAAGAAAGGGAGAGAAACATGTGGACTCGAAAGGTTTACAAATCAGGCATATTAAGATTTCATCTTGTCAACAAGAGCTCTGACGTGAGAGAACTTAGAAAAATAATGTGGTGGCAACTCCTCTCCTTCATACATTAAAAATAAGCATGTAAGCTGTTTTCTCCTCTCCTCAGTAAGGAGGAGAGTCTTACTTTGATTTCTGCATGCGCCAGGCAGCAGAGGATTAACAGCCTGAGAAGCAGCTTCATCTAGAGTATCAAAAAAAGAGCCAAAACGCCCAGAGAACACTAAAATAGTTAAAGCCCAGACAACTAGAGAAGTACCTATGCAAGCATACCTACAAGCCCTGCATAACCTTGGCACACTGCAAGAAAGAGATTCTAACAGCAATTACCAAAACTACAAGAAAATGGAACCTACCTGCCAGAAGAATATATCTCTAAGAGCACATTCCATCCCCAAAACTAAATCACTAATTATTACTAAAACAACTATTTGCAATTTTAAGCTACAGGTGTTTCGTGATAAAGAAAAGGAAGGAGCAAAAAAGCATTTGAAAGCCATTGAACAAGTTAATTTATAAAAAAAAAAACCAACACAACAACAACAACAAAAAACTATCTCTATTTGAGGGTCCTAACAACATTTTTAATATCTTAAACTCTGAAGGCAGAAATTTCAGGCTCAACTTCAGCCACCAATACACAGCTGCCCAAGAATTCTGCCTCCTACCATGCTGCAGCAAAGAGCAACTAGGAAAAGATAATACAGATAATGAAAGAACAAACATAAAAAATACCCCATCCTAATTTATACTAGGACATTACTGTCTCCAAAAAAAAAATATTGGATTTTCAAGTGTAAATTGCAATCATTTTATCAACATAATTTACATTTCATTTGGGATTAAGAGGTGAGAACAAACCAAAAAGCACCAATTTTGACATCACATTACAAAAAAAAAAATCATTAGACTTTTTTTACTAAAATAACAGAGAACAGCAAAACTGGGTATACAGTTACTTGCTTCACTCCACAAAAAGTTGTATTATCAATTTAGTCCTTAAAAGATAAGAAAGCAAGCTATTAGCTACGTCAGAAATAGATCATACCCGACAACCACACAGTGAACCAGCCAGTGACAAGTTTTGTTTAAGTTAAATTTTTCTCCAACATTTGTACATCATTCTTATTTACAAAAAAAGAAATAGCAACAAATAAAATAGCAACTAACTTTATTTTAAGGGTGCCAGCATCCCACAGCCAAAAGCATATTGTTCCATCTGCCCCGGTTGAAGATAAGTATCTCTTTGAGCCACTGCACAGTGGAGAGAACTGGGGGGAGGGGGGAAGAAAAAAGAAAAGGTCTCCTGTTAATCTGTTCCAGATGTGCTAAGAAGTTCCTCAAGTCATTGACTTCTCACAAAAAAAAAAGTCTCAAACCATACTTAAGGAAAATAAATTGCAATGAACACAAAAATAACACGATGCTGCTCAGAGTCACTCTTTTCCTTCAGAACAACCCTTCTGGGTTACTTGCCAAAACACTCTGGGTTCTCCCTCCCCACAACCCAAGTTGTGCAACAGCATGCAACTCTGAATGGAAACAAACCAAAGTATCCAGCAGTGACCACAGTTCTTAATGTACCTGTGCTGAGAATCACAGCCTGCAAAGGAATGATACTTCAAAACAGAACTGCCCACGTGTGTTGTACAATTTTTTTCAACAAGGATTATGTCTGGCATTTTTCGAGGGTCAGGCATTTTGACAATAAACACATGTATTGTGAAATATGTATTGTGAAAATTCCTTCTCACTTCATGGCTTAGTTGCCAGGCACGCATTTTCATTACACAGAACATTCTCAGGTGGTTCGTTTTTCAGTCAAATGATGCATTTTATTGCTAGGGTGAGTTCGCAAAGCAAAAACTTACCTGTAGCGATGTTATAGATGCACTGTGGCCCTGCAGAACTGCTAAGGGTGCACAAGTTCGAAGGCACCAAACTCTGATCATTTTATCACAGCTTCCCGCAGCTATCATGGTGTTTTCATAGTTCACTGCCATATCTGATATTTCAGCTGCATGCCCTCTCAGGGTAGCCAACAACCTTCCATCATCTGTTGCCCAGATTTTTACAAGGCAATCATCTGATCCCTAGAAGTAAGGTAGAAATCATTTCAACTACACCATTAGATGTTTTGATATTACAGTTAACTAACACAATGAACTGAAAAATAGAACTAGTGGCATACACAGATAAATATTCCCCCCCCATGCTTTTAACAGTTTTCCACACTGCATTCAAAACACAAGATTACATTAATTCTCAATAGTATATACAAAGCATGATGCGTTTTAATACAGATCACAAATCCTACAGCAAGTTGGATTTATGCTTTTCAGTAAAACACTTTTTCCAAAACTCCAGCACAAACTGAAGAAGCTGTTGCAATTCATTAAAATGAAAATTTACATTAAATGTGAAAATGAATTATGAATTAGTAACATGTTTGCCATTTAGCATTGTAACCACTTACGTTCCTTATCTTCCTAGTTTGATCTTCATGCCCTACCAGCGTTAGTAGTATACTTGGTGTCCTGGTTTTGGCTGGGATAGAGTTAATTTTCTTTCCAGTAGCTGATAGAGTGTTATGTTTTGGATTCAGTATGAGAAGAATGTTGATAACACACTGATGTTTTCAGTTGTTGCTAACTAGTGTTTAGACTTAAGTCAAGGATTTTTCAGCTTCTCATGCCCAGCCAGCAAGAAGGCTGGAGGGGCACAAGAAGTTGGGAGGGGACACAGCCAGGACAGCTGACCCAAACTGGCCAAAGGGATATTCCAGACTATGTGACGTCATGCCCAGTATATAAACTGGGGGGAGTTGGCCTGGCGGGGTGGATCACTGCTTGGGAACTAACTGGGCATTGGTGGGCACATGGTGAGTAACTGCGTTGTACACCACTTGTTTTGTATAGTCCAATCCTTTAAGTATTATTATTGTCATTTTATTACTGTTGTTATTATTTTCTTCCTTTCTGTCATATTAAACTGTTCTTATCTCAACCCACAGGTTTTACTTTTTTTCTTTCCCAATTCTCTCCCCCATCCCACTGGGTGGGGGGGAAGTGAGTGAGTGGCTGCGTAGTGCTTAACTGCTGCCTGGGGTTAAACCATGACATACACTTACCACAGTAACAGTGAAGTAAAGAGCCTGTATGAACAGCTATTCCATTATTAAGTCAAAATACTATAAATCTGCTTTGATATTCACACTAACAAACACTGAAATGACCACTCTTTCTCAACAAACTTCAGACATTTCATCTACCTATTCATACTTAACTAACGTTTTGCTGGTCTTCCCACACCACAGTAACAGCTGCTTGCCTGTATACAACAAGTTCACAGCCCTAGCAAAAATTTCACAACTCAGCCCTTCATTTTTCATTGCATTCCTGCACCTCCCTAAAAGTCTTTGCACCTTGCTCAACACATTGACATTTGAACACTGCACAGAGACACTGAAAGAGGAGGTTTGCTGTAAACATTTATTTGCTTAGGTTCAGAAGCAATACAAAGCTGGGTGTTGGATTTTAACATCTGGAGCACTGATCTGCTACTGGACACACACAGGTGCTGCTGCAAGTTACAATGTGACACCATCATTACAAAATTCCACCTGGGTTTTGACTCTTCCATCTACTTACAGTGCCTCTGCACAAGTTCAGCTAGTATTTATTCTTTAAAGTCAGAAGGCAGGACAATACTATCGCCCACCTTTTATAAAAAAAGGTATCCAAAGTACAGGGACCAACAGCCAGATTTTTAAAAGACTGGTAAGCATTCAGTGAATGACCAAAAGTCTCAAAAAATATTTAGAGGCTACTGATACTATTTTCAACATTACAGCTTCTGTAAACAAGTAAATGACATATATTTTCCTTATTTAGTACATTCCTGTAACTATAGAAATCCCACACTGCCGTGGCTCAATTTAGCTACTGTTCTGGGCAGCCCAATCCCAGGACACCTATAACCAGCTTGGGAAGTTTTCACCAACACAGCCACTATGTGTGAAGCAGAGCAGTCCCGCTGGGAAGCCAGGCAAACACTTCAGGAAACACTTTCAAAAGGAACCCAGACACATCCTGCAGGTTTTGGAACACATAAAAGGATTTGGAAAGCCTTTTTTTTTTTTGCCTTTTTTTAATAAATACTGACCAGCCTATTTAGATTACATTAACGCTGATGAACAGACAATTTATTTCCCCGTATTTCCTTAACTTCTTTTATGTTGTTACTATTAAAAAAAATCAGTTCTCTACTTGAAAGGATAGCTGAATTCTACTCATTACATTAGTTCAGATTCAAAACTACTATCTGGGAGAAGGAGGGGAACAGCCTACCTGCCGTTACCTAACAATTATACACCCATTCTCATTTGTAACAATACCCTGCAAACCAGGCAACTTCCTCAGGCTTACTTTTCGTTTAGTGAACAAAAAGTTGTTTCTGGCTCACAGGCAGTTATCCACAGCAGTTTCTCTCCTTCTATGTCATTTGTATTAATTCAGACAAGACAAATATCTCTTAACACAACAAGATACAATACAGCCCCAGTTCTTGAAATAGTAAAAAGAAGACTGATTGCATTTAGGTACATTGAGAGAGCACATTTTTCTACAGAACACAAATGCAGGTTGCTTCTCTCCAGAAGGGTCTTTAGCATCAGCAAAAAGGCTACTTTGGAGCATTAGTGACATTTTAACACAGCAGAATGTTTTGCAGGGGGACTCCAGACATGCAAAATCAAGATAATTTAAAACTTTACTGTGTATTTGATTTCTGGAGTGCCTTGGTAGGTAATTTTGATTTACCAGCTGTCATGCTTCTACTCTTCCTCAGGTGGGCATGACTGTAAGGGCATGACTTTTCTTTCTTCCCAACTATTCAACAGGTGCACCCATGAACGCAGAGATGTGGGCAAGAAAACTCGTCCCACACCTCTGCCCTAGTCATTTTTGGCATAAGCATCTGAGCCTCCAATTAAGGTTGTCAAAAAACCTCTTGTGTAGCTGCATACTCATTTTAAACAAGTACTTCTATTAAGAGAAGGTCCCTCATCCCTCAAACAGAAAAGTACCATTTGAGATTTCACATTTCTCTTTGGTCCTCTAAGGACACTGCGGCTGAGCAATCAGCATTACAGAAGAGTACTGCTCTGAACATTTAACCTCAACACTCAACCAAGGACTGCTCCCTTGTGCAGTGTCATTTAGTTACTGCAAGCAACAGCCCATTTCTACTTCTAAAAACTTTGTCATAAGGGGGACTGTTGCAGGGACGTGTCTATTTGACAAAGGAGATAAGTGAAGCTTGTTAATAATTACATTTTCTGCCTCTTGGGTAAGGAGAGCAATGGTACAGCCTATATTATTTCTTCTTATGCATAAAACTTCCACACCGAGATTCTGTGGTACACATTTGCCTTATCTAACTGCTAGACTGCTACAGTGCCAGCACAGGGAAAACAACCAGAGTCTGTAGAGTTGAACAGCAATGGACGGACAGAATCACAGAATCATTGAGGTGGGAAGGGACCTCTCAAGATCATCTAGTCCAACCCCCCTGCTCAAGTAGGGTCAGCTAGAGAAGGTTGCCCAGGATGATGTATCAACCATTCCTGTTTTGTTATCTTCTGCACATTTACTAAAGGTACTCTCTGTCCCATCACTCAGGTCCTTAAAGAAAATGTGGCCTCAGTACCAAACCCTGTGGTACACCCCTAGTGACTGGCCTCCAGCTGGACTTCGTGCCACTAATCACAACCCTTCGAACCTGGCAGTTCAGGCCACTTTCAATCTCTGTCCACTTATCCAGCCTGTACTTCATCAGTTTGTCAGTAAGGATGCTATGGGGGACAGTGTTGAAAGCCTCACTACAGTCAGGAAAAACAACATCCATTACTGCCCCTCATACAACTTAGTCATTTCATTGTATAAGGTTATCAAGTTGGACAGGAATGATTTCCCCTTCACAGATCTATGCTGATCACCTTCTTATTGTTAGTACATTTGGAAATGGCTTTCAGGAGAATTTGCTCCATCACTTCCTCAGGTGATTGAGAAGAACGGTCTGTAGTTCCCTGGAACAACATTCTCGCCGTTCTTGAAGACAGGAGTGACATTTGCTCTCTTCCAGTCCTCAGGAACCTCTCCTGATCATCATGGCCTTTCAAAGATAGTAGAGAATGGCCTCGCAATGACATTGGCCAGTGCCCTCAGCACTTGCTGGTGTCTCTTTTCAGGCCCCATGGATTTGTGTACGGCAAGTTCATTTAAACTTTCCCTAGCCTGATCCTCCTCCACCAACAAGGAGTCTTCCTTGCTCTAGAATCCCTCTGGTCTCAGGGACTTGGGACTCCTGAAGACAGACTAAAGATTGAGGCAAAGATGACATCGATTATCTTGTCTTTTTCTGTGTCTTCTGTCACCAGGTCTCCTGCCCCATTCATCAACAGGCCTATTTTATTTTCCCTAGTCTTCCCTTTGCTGCTGATATACTTGAAGAAGCCAGTCTTGTTGCTCTTCACATCCCTTGTGAGATTCAACACCAGGCTGTCTTCAGCTTTCCCAACCCCATCACTGAACTTTCAGAGAGTGGCTCTGTATTTCTCCCAAGTCATCTGTCCCTGCTTCCACCTCTTGCACATTTCCTTTTTGTGTTTGAGTTTTGTCAGGAGCTCCTTGCTTGTCTATGCAGGCCTCCTGCCACTTTTGCTTGCCTTCCTACACATCAGGATGGACCATTCTTCGGTCTGGAAGAGGTGATCCTTAAAAAATAACCAGCTCTCCTGAACCCCTCCTCTCTTCCTCCAGACCATATCCCACAGTATTCTTCCAGGCAGGTCCCTGGACAGGTCAGAAGCCCAGGGTTGTGATCCTGCTTTTTGCCTTGTTCCCTCCTCACAGGATCCTGAACTTCGTCACCTCATGGTCACTGCAGTCAAGACCGCCCTTGACCTACAGTTTGTAACTGTAAGATCGAGCAGAACATCTTTTGTTGTCAGCTCCCAAATGACCTGTGCCAGGAAGCTGTCATCAGTGCACTACTGCAGAAACTTCCTGGATTGCTCACATGCTGCTGTGTT